GACGCGCGTTTGCGTCACTTGATAATTGCTGACTACCAATTGCATTCTACAAGCTTTATACGAGCTCTATAAATGTTCAAGTTCTTGCAGATCATAGTTAAAAAATAGAAAACATAAGTTATAGACATTTTAGATTAGCTGTCTATAATAATGTATTGTTTTGCTGTGATTCTTTATTTCTTCTATATTGGAGCCAGCATTTGTGTTGCCAGTACAGGTCAGTATGTTGTTGTTCCACAACATGTCTTACCAGGTTGGAGTCACAAGTTAGAGAACATTGATCACATCCAATGTTTGCTGTTTTGTTCAAGAAAAATATACTGCTTATCGGTGAATTACAATCGGCAAGATAGAGTCTGTCAGATAAACAAACAAATGCGGGAGGGTGCAACTGATCTTCTGGCAAACTCATCATATGATTACATGGAAAAGGTAAGCAAATAAACCAATTCAGTTACTGCTTTTAGGATACATTCACTTATTTACGGCCAGGTCCGTGCACAGTATACTGTTATGCAGAGAACATTACATTAAATGATTTTATGTTTTGAATAATTTATATATATATATGTATATATATATATATATATACATATATATATATACATACGTATATATATATAATGCAAACTCTTATACACATCTAGATGTGTATAAGAGACAGTTATTATACCTCCTATAATTATGATTGTCATTTTCATTAGTACTGTATAACCATCATAATAAGTGGTTAACATAATTATGCCTAATTATCATCATCATTATTATCATTGTTATTATCGTCTTATCGTCACTATTAAATCAATCATAACCATAATTAAACGCTTAATTGTCACCGTCATATCATGGTCATGGTGTATTATCATCATCATCTTCTTCATCATCATCGTTATTCATCATCTTCATCATTATAGTTATCGTCATTACCATCTGCATGCTCATGATCAATTAATCATGTTTTACTATAAAATTGTAATTCTTTTTTTCCAATGTTGTTAACGACAGTATTAGGTCTCCCTCTAATTAAACACCACTTTTGGGACCAAGTGTTTTGCCGTCTTTAGACGTTTCGTCTCTAAATAGAATTCCTCTGATTAAAGACCTGCACTAAAACTTGTCTTTAAATATCTTTATTTAGAGGGAAGTTAGTAAAAATAGTAACTTTAATATTCAATAAGTATATTCCAAGTGATTTAGAATGGATGTACAGTTAATGAATATTGTTATTGATTCTTAATAAACCATTTCTTGACAGGCACATAGGCCATGTATACAAACACTTAATAGATAAGATGTGAATATAATTGGTGAAAACAAGCGCGCATCGTATGTAATTCTAATTGTAATGTTGTGCAACAAACTACAAGGTCTATTCATGAGTGGAAATTACTATTCAGTAGCGTTATTAGCTTTCACTAACAACTCAATGAAAATAGGCCAACTAATTAGCAGAAAGCGATTGATGGATATTATCATTTGCATTTCATATTTTAAAAATCAAGAATAATGAAAATTGTTATTAATTTTACAGTTCTTTGTGATTTTTTTAAATATGTTTTTCTTTTTAAACTTTATATTTTATTGTGTTTACTATGTAAAGTTGTGCGTATAATATTGTATGCCCGTAATCACGCACACACACACACACACACGCACACACGCACACTCATGAAAATGATTGAAATCAAGAATATTAATGAATTATTTGAAATTTACTACCGAGCAAGTGAATACAGAATTTTCAGTTTTAGTGGTCTTTAGCAGCTTTGGTCTAAATTAGAATCCCTCTAATTAAAGACCGGCACTGAAAGTGGTCTTAAATACCATTTAAATTGAAGGTATATAGTAATTATAAAATCGTTTTATTACAAGTGCTTTACAATTTATTTACATTTACTGTATGCTGTTATTGATTCTTATAAGACCATTTCTGGGTATAATTCACACATCAAGTTCTGAGCGGCTGATACTTAAATTGCCATTACAATATTACTAACAACATCGCCCTACTAAAACTATCAGTATAGCCCTATTAAATAGAGGACTGTATACAAAAAATATCGTCTTATGTTGTGTATTATTTTGATGTGTATATTTATATCATCATCTATTTTTTTAAAGTCAATATATATTGCAGTATGATATATTTGAAGGGAAATGTTTAATTTAGTTTGGCCTGCCAAAACCATATGATATATTTAAGTTTGAATGTCCTACTAACACAATCGATATGCAATATGGAGCATGCATGCACATCTTCACTGAATTACTATTTTCCTTTTAAGTAGTAATTTTTTTTTTTGCCGTCCCAAAGAACCGTTCTTTGTGGCTTTGTGGGGTAGTTTTTAGCTGCACCATGAATAGCGGCCTAATTGGCCTGTCCAACTTAATTATTAGTGTACTAGGCTAGTACTAGTAGAATTGTTGAAAAACGACGGAATTCAGAATTAATTTTTGTCAGATTTTGTAAAATATTTCTTATGTCAATAATTTAGTTAATGATCAGAAATGTCGGTGTTCCACCAGTCCAGTGATATGGACTTACGATATTAAAAATTATTATTAGAAGGAATCAGTAAAAAAAAACCCCGTTAAACTACTCTTAACACAACAAGTGTTCATGTATTTCACGGTAATCCTGCATCTAACCCAGCTTCAGATCTTCACAAAAAATAATCATTGGGCTTATTCGACTGATTCATTTCGTTGAGTACGAATTTTCGCTGAGTATTATTTTCATTCAACTTGTTTGTAAAATAGACTTCGTTAACAACGAAAATTAACGTAACCAGAATGCGTTAATCAGCGTTAAGTGACCAAAAAAATATGGTCGATTGGTCAGTTTATCAACAAAATTTAATATAATTTAGATTAAATTTCAGAAAATAAAAATTATATTTACCCAAATTGAAGTCAAAAATATAATTGTAGGCTAACAGAATTCAAAAACTGGATGAAAACATTTTTTTTTTAAAGAAAAACCCATAGTGCCTCAATCTGAAGCAGCCTTGATTACGCAGCGTGTATCGCGGTAACTATGCAGCCATTTTGTTTTGTCGAGTATTTACCATTTTTCTATTCTACTGGTCGTCTTCGTTAAGTAGGATTTTACCACTACGCATGTGGGCGAGGTTTAACGAAGAACGACCAATCGAATACGGCCATTTATTTTATTTGGCAATGACAAATCATACTATAAAGTTTCATTTAGATCCATTAATAGATTTTTGAGATATGTAGGTCTGGGATGTTGGAAATTTAAATAACCCTCAAATTTAAATTCAAAACTGGATCGTTACCAAAACATAATAATTTCTTCCATGTAGCATGTTATTGATTTTTTTTGAGAATAATATTTATATGGTAGCCAGACGTCATGTCCTAATCCTTTTACCCAACTTTCAATTAAAATATTACTTACATTATCACTAACATTATCGTGGTTCAATTACACAAGAAGCACTGTAGTATGGTACACCGGAAACACGTACGTTACGTTTAAAAATGTATTTATATATTATAGTTACACAAGACGATTTTTAATTTATCTCTATCATATTATTTTATATATGTATATATAATCTCAGTATACCGTACCTGTGAGTGATATCCATTAAGGTATATGATCAGGTATATTCCTATATATGTTTTTTATTAATATGTGGGTGTGGATATGTGTAAATGTCCACACCCACATATACATATACATAAATATGTGAATACAGATGTATAAATAATATTATACTCATTAAAGTCCATTAGCTGTAAACGTCAGTCAATTGTTAATATTCTTCATACACATCCGTTCATAATATTAACTTTATATTTCTTAATCTGCAGCGCTTCTACTATTCTTCGGGCAAATTTTTTTTGTTAATTCATATCCAACCAAGGCATGGGATCAATATTGTGTATATA